AGTGACGACAGCACGACGCCACAGGCCCCGCCCCCAGGGGCACGGAGTGGGCGGGGCTACTGCAGCCCCTGCGTGGGAGCCGCCTGTTGAGGATCTAGCGGGGCTGCAGGTGGACCGCTGTCGCGAAGAGCAGAGCAAGCGCAAGCTGAGGGCACGCGGTGCCGGTGGTTGCAGGAGGTTCGCCTGAGCTTGCCCTCAGGCTGCGATCCGCAAGGCACCAGGAGACGTCGCACTGTCCTTAGCAAACATGCGGGTGAGCGAAGTCCCCACTATTTGAGGGCTCAGTACCTTTGTACCTAAAGAGCAACAATGAAGACTCCCGTTTAGACCACGAAAACAGCAACCCTTTCTAGGCCAGCCTTTGGCACCTACTAGGCGTATAGTATAATAAGTATTAGCACCCCTTCTGAATTTGCTGCGCTGATTCAACACGTGTTTGTAGAGGGCACCCTAAAGCCAAAACGTCTTTCCCAAGTGCCAACAACTATATGCCAGAAGCTTCACAAGAGTTTTGCTATGTAGTCGTACCATAATTCTGCTCCGTGGGTATCTTTAGCACTGTTTTACAGATAGGGAAACATGAAGCACAGAGAGGTTAAGCACCATGCCCAAGGTCACACAGTAAGTTTAGGAATCCTCTGCAGATCAGTCCCACTCTCAACATATCAGATGCCATGCCAGATAATCACCCTGGAGAGACAAGGTCCTGCCTTCAAGGAGCTCACATCTAGTGAGGAACCAGGCCTGCAAATACAAGTCCTGCCATCATACCAGCGTGTATAAGTATATTTAACGTGAAATGGAAATTAGTAGGGAGGCCTATCTAAGGGCGGCAGAGAAGCCTGTCAAGGAAAACACTGGGATTTGAAGGATGAGTAGTGATTGCCCGTATAACTAGAGGTGAGGGAAACAGGCATTCCAGGCAGAGGGAAACGACTGCAAGGACTCCTAGGGCTTCAGGGAGCCTGGCTTACCTGGAAAGCCTGGAGAGTCATCTCAAGGCAGTAGTTTAGGGTATGTGAAGGAGGCGGCAACAGATGGGGCTGGCGTATGGACCCAATTTAAGGCTTTTAGATTTTGTCCTGGGTGATAATACACTAAATTTTAATTGCAAGAGTGGCATCATCAAGACTGGTATGACTGGGTGGCGATACCAAGGGGCAGGAGACCTGTGAAGAGGCTAAGTCAATCCTGAGAAGAGATGGTAGTGAAATAGGGCAGTGACAACAGGGATGAGAAGAAACAGGTTAATAACAGAGCTAAAGATGCAGAACTGATCTGACTGTTCACCACTCGTGTGTTATTACGCTGGGACTCTTAAATGTACTCTTTGGCCTTGTTAAAAAAAAAAAAAAAAAAGCCTGCTTAGGAACGCAAGCCTATGACTGAAGAGTAAAGTCATGCCCTCGCTCCAGGAGCTGAGGGGGCAAAAGGGAGGACTAAGACCTCAGCCCGGAGCTCCCGCATCCCTGAGAGGGTGGTGCCCCCAGCCCATGCTGCTAGTTACCGAGAGCTAAGCCGGAGCCCGGAGTGGGCTGAACGCTGCAAACCAAAGCCCTGCGGCCGCCACGGGTGATGGAGGAGGGGGCCGCGGTGCAGAGGTGAGCCGCTCGATGCCGGCTCAGCAGCCGCAGACGTGATGAGCGCGCTAGAACCAGATGGGGAAACCTGACCCTTTCCTCCTCCAAGCTGGCGCGGCGCGCAGCCGGGCAGCGGAGACGCGCT